ACAGCAGCACACATCTGACCCAGCCTCTCCTCAGGTGCTGCTGCTGTGCTCTCTGAGATGTGGTACCAGTGGTCAGGGGGTGAGATGTGACTCAACCCACTGCATCTGAATCTGGAAGGTGACCTTCAGCACTGCCACCAGTAACATGAGGGACACTTTCTCTTGGTGCAGGAATTGACTGCTCTCTTTCACTTGACAAAGAAATTGGCTGGCCAAATAGGTGAGCTTGGATGTGTGGCCAGTTGCTCCCTTCTCCTACCATCACTTGTTAAAGGAAGAGGGTTGAATTCATAACAAAAAGAGAGAGAATCCTGCAAGCAGCTGTTTTAATATTGATGACAGTGGTACATGATTTTGCTGGACATGCTCAATACAGGTATCAAAGTAAGCTGTTGATTCATAAAAGGCGAGACCTTTCAACTATTACAAAAAAATAAAGAGCATTTAGGGTTTAAACACAGACAGTCAGAAAAAAGTCATGCCACTTGAAGAATGTGGAGATGTAGCATTTAATCCTGCTACATTTAATTTGTAATATGTTGAAGCTAATATAGGTTTAACTAAATCCTATGTTAAATACTCTAGATGCCATTCTGTTCATACTCAGAGTAAATGCATCTTGCAGCTACAGAGCACTATGACAACTTAGGGCTGCTAAAGTTTGCCAACTATTGTGTGCACCTTGCCTTTCTGGATCTCCTGCTTTTACTAAATTCAGGATTGGGTGGTTTGGCAAGATGGAGCACATTTTACATAAAACAGAGAGGTATATCTATGTAATAGGTTTATTTTATCCTTTATTTATATGAATAAGAAAACTTCAGAGAGGAGATTTCATTAGTAATTGGCAGAACCTTAGGTAAAAGCACCCAACAACGTCACTACAATAATATGCAACTTCTAATTTTAACTACAAGGCACTTTAGGTGTTGAATTTTTTTACTACAAAAATAATAATGTTTGGGGTTTTTTCTGCTTCTCTACAATGAACAAGGTGTCAGCTTTCATTCACCTATATCTTAGCTAATTTGAACTGAGAGGTATTAAAAACCCCTTGTGATTAGCTTTTTTTTTAACCTATGCAGCAGCAATAGATATTAAAATGCATACCAATACAGTTAAAGGCTATAGAAATTAAAACTTTTGTTTTGAATTGTATGCCAGACAAGTAATTCAATGGTTTGGACAATATATAAAGGTAGATATGCTCACTGATCAGGATCTTTTTAGCCTCTTTTCTACACTCCTATTGATGTAACCAAGGCAAATTGGATTGTCTGACATGAACTGAGATAATACTGATGGGAGGAAAATATAGGAAGTGAACTATATTGATGATCTGCTTGGATGTCGTTATTGACCTTTTTCTTTTAAATCACCAGAAAGTCACGTTCCAGAAAAGAATGACTTGTTGAATTCCTGTGCTTCATCATCACCAAGAAAGGATCGCCATAGCAACAGGAAAAGACTATGCATTGTGAGAATACTCACAAGCTGAACAAGATCATGGTTTAAGATAATGTCCCAGGAGCCTGGCAAAATGCCAGCCAGGGGTGGGGAGGGAGGGAAGTGGGACTTCTACAAGAACAAAGGAATTTAAAAATATCTAATATTGTAAATGTGAAATATGTGTGTACTCAAGCCTAACAGAAAGTGCAAGACAGTCAATTGACAAACTATTCAGCCCATTTGTCAGGGGAGAAAATCAGCAGGGCTTCTTATTGATAAATCCCTGAACTAGTTTTTAAAGGTCAACTGCCAAGTGACCGATGTGTGTCATTATGATTTTCCCTTTAGCCTCTCTGTTAGGGCATCCAAAATGTTTTCCAGCTAGCAGGAGATGTTCATACAGTAACTATACAGAAGAGTTTAAAGAAAACATTTCATGTAGGTCACCCATCAGGCAGAACCTGCTTAACTTCTAGTAATTATCTGCAAAATCTGATCCAGCACTGTAGTTGAGAGGTGAAAGGATCATTACATTTGTCATCTGGTGTATCTGTTCTATTTAGACACTTATCTTTGATTCCCTCCTACAACATTTTTCAATCCTCAAAGTTCAATTCCACAATATTTGAGAAACAAAGCTAAAAACCTAAGCTTAACTCAAAATATGAGTCAGGATGAGTTCAGAGTATGTCACTGAATGAAATTTAAACCATATGATACTTACAACAAATTTTTTCCCAACTGTTTTATTTTCACTATGAAACATCCATCCTTAGCTCTCATGTTTTGTTAAGAATTATTTAAAATTAAATAGGTAATATAACACTAAAAGTTGCAGATAAAAACATGCTGAAGTTGAGAAACGCTGCACATAGTAATCGCTGCTTTCAAAGCCATGTTATTTGCAACCATTTCTTTGTGGCAAAGTGTGAGTGGCTTTTGCTTCAACATCACTACAAGTGCTTCTGTGAATTTCAAAGCTGCTTTTTGTCTTTGCCCCTTCAGCCAGTTTAGTAAAGGAGTAAATTCACACTGAGACAACAGAGACTATTCCAGTTCTGGACCCAATAACTTATGCCTCTGATTCCTCCATTTTCTCTCTCAACATAATTTGTGTTAGAAAGTCTTAAGTAGGGTTTGGAAAAAACACAAACAAATCCTCAGTGGAAACTGCCAATTTACTACTCCAATTGACACTTCAACCCAAGCATTTTAATTTAGATGAAGATCATTTTGATGACTGACAGGCTATGACTTTGATGACTCAAGGTTACACAGTCTACAGAATACATTTTTCCTGTGACTGAACTATCTGTGTCAGACCACCACTGATACTTTCACAAAGACTCCAATGTTTTTACTGATACTGGTAATGAGTTGCTGAGATACCTCCTCTTTCTACCATGGAAATGCCACTGAAGAAGGCAGATATTGCTCACCAACACCTGAATATCCTTTTACTCCTGAACCAGTGAAATTCCACCTCTTTCCTGTGAAACTTATTTCTACAATCATAACTCACCTGACATTGTTGCTTTCTTTGGTGTACAGCAGTCCCTCACTAGAAGTCTTTGAAGCAATATGACCTTCTCCCTCTGCTGCTGCGGATCACTAGAGAGGACAAGACAAGGGATTCCTAGCCCCCAGTCTTCCAAAAACTAATCATTACTGAAAATGAAACTGGGTCTCCTGAGCTTTGTCCGCCCATGACTTGAAACAGTTAAGTCTGGCTATGGCAATGAAATCCATTTTTTACTGACAGAAGTTAACAGAAGCTTGAGCCAGCCTACTAGCATGCTGCATGTTCCCTGACATCCTTCATGCTGTCTCTGTGTCCAAGTACTACAATTTATCCAGAAGAAAAAGTGTAAATTGTAATCTGTCGGGTCAACAAAGTTTACAGAGATGAGATTGAGCCAACACAAGGTCAAGCATAATAGCATATGCCAAAGACAAACAGGGCCTCTTTCTTTGAACTGCAGGAGCAATTAGGAACTGTGCAAATATTCTGAGTAAATCCCACTGTAGTCTTTTGCTAGCTTGCACTGAAATGGACAGAAAAGTAACCAACAAAAATTAACTACTAAAGCCCATCAGATGCCCATGATTCACAACAGCAGCACATCCTCAAGGAGTTCATGGCACATTTTCTAAAGACGTGAGACAGTGGGGAATCCTTCACAAAATGTGTTTGTTTAGAAAGAGGAGTACAGACCACAACCTTCAGGTACAAACAGGCCGAATAATTCCAGAGAAAAAAGGGACTACTAATTTATGATGAAAAAAATTCAGGTAGAAAAGTGCATGTTTTAAGTGGGGAAGAGAAACACTGAAATCTTACAATGGCTTGGCATAGCAGCCAGGAGGGAATGACAGGTTTTAAAGAATGATACTGCTTGTATTAATGTGTGGGATCCTCAGATCTACAAAGAGCTCTGCCTCTCCTTAGAAACAACTGCCCTACTTCTCTGCTGAAGAAGAGATGAAAGGAAATGCTGCAAGGAATTCCTTGACACTGCAAGGAAAAAACCCCTAAACAACAACCACAAACCAAACCAACCAACCAAACACCCACAAAAAAACCAACCTCAAAGGTATGACTTTGCCACGTACTTCTGAGAAAGACATATATACCTGCCTGCTCTCATTTAAAACCTGGCATATGGATGCATCCCCAAACTCAAAGACTAATCATTATCAAAATCAAGTTTTTCCTCTAGCATTTTAATTTTATACCACTTCAAACAACAAATTTGCCAGGACAGGTTCTAATTTACGCTCTACAATTGAAATCAGAATGAGGACAAAATGCAAGGGAGGCATCAATGTATGCCTGACCCTATAAATCTAAAGGTAAACTGATACTGAAAAAGCAAGAGAGAGAAAAAATCCTCTAAAGTTAGCCACAATGTATATTTTCAGGGCCTGTCAGTCACAAAGCAGGGTGAGATTGCTGGGATCCGCAAATTGTTTTGGCTTCCAGCATTTTCAGCACAAGATGAGCGCCACCATGACTAATGGAATTTTCTATTAAACGCGGCCAACGGAAAGTAGACATTTCAGAAAACAAAATCAGCACTTTACATAAATGCATTTATGCTTAAAATTAGATTTCCTTTTTTTTTTTTTATGGTTTGAAGCTGACTGCAATGCACTCACTTATTAGGAACACAGCATAAGAAATGTTATTGTACTTTATTTATATGTACTTGAAGCTTTTTGCTGACTACAGAGAAAGTGCTATTGCATCAGTTAGGTCAAAATGCTACATTTAAATAGCCTAAGAATTACAGAAAAGAAAAATAAAGTAGAATATTAAAAAAAAAAAGAAGAATAAAAAAGCAAAAGAAAAAAAAGCCTCCTCTGCAACTGCATTTAAAAGTAGTGGCAAATCTCTGTCATTCCAATTTTGCATTTCCTACCTTGATTACAGCCCTAGAGTCACCTATCAATCACTTAGCTCTCATTTCTACTTTTCTTTACAGAGGAAGGCAGACAGATTTCTTCTCAGAACTGCTCCAGTGAGTGATGTGACATGAATGCCACCTTACCTGAGTCTAAGTGCCAGGGGTCGGTGGCGGCCGACATTGGTGGGATGGTGAGGGGAGACGCTCCGCAGTTGGATTCCACCAGTTCTCCTTGGATGTGGACGTGGGAGGAGGCGTTGGTAGGTCTCAGAGCTGCTTTGAGTGGAGCAATCTGGTTGAATTGGACTCTTGATAGGCAGCCAGTGAATCCTGGGGTGTTGTATTTATATATATCTTGGTCAATCTTCCCAATTTCTATGAGAAATTGAAGAGGGGAAAATATTAATCAATACGATTCATTGCTTGGGAAAGCACAATTGGTCTGAACACATTGATTCCCAGAGCTCAGCTCCCAAGTCCCTCTCTGAAGGAGACTGAGATTGTGTCAGACCCTGACAGGTTTCTTTACATTTCATTACAGATTAAAGCTGGAAACCTCCAGGCCTTAACATGACTTGGTTTCACTGCTATGCTATCATTAAAATGAAAGGTTGGCATGAAGGAGTCAGTGAAGGAGTCATCAAAGAACAAAAGGCCAGGAAAAATTTCTGAGAAGAGTATTGGAAGAGAAGGCAGAAGGCAGAAGGACAGGGTCTTGGCCAGGGTGTCTCCTGCCAGCTGAAGCCACTGCTGTGAGAGATGCCCCTTCCTCAGCCCTGGCCTATTGCCCTCTTGGTTCTCCTGGGGGGGCCGGGACCACTTGTGGTCACTCCTGTCCTTCTCCTGTTTCCTCATGAGGAGACCAAGTGTCCCTTCAGCAGGAGACCAAAGGTGAAGGGATCTCCTGAGTCCCTTCTCCTAGGAGCCAAGCATTCCTTTGCCAGGGAGCCAAGCTTCCCTTCACCACTATGTCCCGTGTTCCTGTGGCCTGAGGTGGAAAACCATCCATCTCCAGTCTCCTTCCTTCATTCCCCTGCAGTGCTGAGAGGGGACAGGACCTCACCCAGCCCTGCTGAAGGCTGAGGGAGCTGAGACCCTGCTGCCAGTCACTTTACTGCTGTGGGCTGACAGATCAGCTGGCAGCTGGTACTCATGAGCTGAACAGAGGGCTCTGCCACCACTCTCTAAATCAGCTGTTGTCTCTCAAAGCTGCCCCCCAGGTAGCTTTCTCCCTTCTTAAACACCAGGTAAGATGACCCCAAAATCATGTAAAGTGCCTTTACTACCCAGGAAACTGGCATCTGCCCCCAGCTGTTTCAATTCTGCCGGGACCTGTTGGAACAGCCTGAGTCACAACCAAATCAAAACTGTCCCCCTCTGTCAGCTGTCTGCATTAGAGGGGTATTAACATTTCAAAGCCTCACTGCAGTGTCTAATATAATATTTACACGACAGTGGGGAATTTGGATTCCTTTTTTCTGTGGTAGTGTGGAGTGAATGAAAAGGAGACATAGAAGCATCATGTTTGTGCTGTATGAGATATTATTGCTCCAGAGGCACCAGGACACTTCTAGCCACTTTTCCCTTGGTTGTTGGGTTAATGACTGGCCCTTGAAGTCACTGGAAAAAGTCATACTAAACTGAGCAAAGAAGTAGAGCGACAGAGAGGACAGAAAAGAGGGAGCAGCACCACATTATTCAAAGCACCATGTTATTCAAAGGCAACCTTTACAGATAGGAACAAAGAAAAGTGTTGCAAGTTTTGGTTTTTGTAGAAAAAAAATGCCTGTAAATTACAAGATTGTGTCATAAAAAATAAAGGAAGGAAGACAGAGGTGGGAAGGAAAAGCTTCTGAGAGGTGTGAAGAGGAAGTGGGAAAGGGCTTTATTTTAAGAGTTTGGGGTTAAACTGGGAATCAAACTACATCTGGGCTTGAATTTTGCTACAAAAAAAACGAAGAAAAAACCTAACTAAAATTATTAGAAAATGCATTACTAATCTTTTGGAAATGTCTGTATACAGTTCTAACCAAATCAGGAACCATTATATGAGGTCTGAGCTGTTTAATGTCCTTAAAAACTAGCATGATATACACGTCAGTGCTATATTGCTAAGCGTACTGAGGGCTTGGCATCAGGGATACATACATGGAGTTCCAAGGCTAAAAACCAGACAAACTGTTTTATTTTTGGGGTTTACACTCTAAACATGTAGTGTGAGAAAACTGGTGGAATAGGGTCAAATCTAGAGCTCAACTAAAACAACTTCTTGGTATTCATGGAACTGAGCTACCTTTTCTGTCTTTGCAATTGTGTGGGAATGAAAAACAGGCAACATTTAAGTCCCCCTCATACCTAGCACAAGGGCACACAACAAAGATGGATAATCTGAAAATTACTTGCATTAAATCATTATAAAATTCACTATACAGGAACGGATTTTCTTGTCCCTGCATTTTCCCTGCTCCTTCTCACTTGAGAATGTCTTTTCTCTGCTAGTGCTTATCCAGCCTGTATTAATGCTACACATTTCATGAGCTGGCAGCGAGCAGTGACTGTCATCTCTGACAAAGTGGACACATCCTCAGGACTCAGATAAGGACTAGCTTAAATCCTTACCATAATTGTATTAGTCACAGCCAGCTCTCCTTTGAAAAAGTAGTTTGACCAAACCATTAGCAGCATCTCCTTCAAAAATTTGATCGTAAGTAAAAAACCTCACCCCATGCTAATTTTCCATAATTAGTAGAAAAGCTGTACAAAAGCTAGTTCATGCATTTGAATGCTACCTGTAAAACACATTACTCAAAGTTCCTTCCTGACCACAATATTCACTCTCCCTTACTTCAATAAAATATTCATGGCATATTCAGTGAAGAGCTGCATTTTTGAGTAATCCCTATAATCTAAGAAACAATTACAAGACTCTTCAAACACCGTAACCACTGTTAACAGTTTAGTGATTTCACTCACATTTTTATCTATTCAGTGGAACTTCATGCAGGAGCTAATAGCCTCCCACACACAATCCTGACTGACAAGAACAAAGATCCATGAATATGACTCTGCTAATTTAACAACTTCAGCGCCACGCTTCTCTAACTCCATAAATAAGTGATGGATACTAGATACTGAAAGAATTAAAAAAACAACAACAAAACTCCCTAACCTAACAAGGGACTTTGCTAAAGACCCGCATTTTTTGTTTAAAACATTCCACATTGCAAGTGATGGCTGTGAAAATCATCCCATGCAGATTTCCTGCCAGCTCACATCTCACCAGTGCTAGAACAGTATAGATCAGCTTCCATGACTGTGAATTTGTTCCTGCCTCTGCATGTCCCTTGGGGCTCAGCACACTGATACCCTCTGATGTTAGGCCATTACACTTTGTTTCCCTGGGCATTTGAGCCTAATAAACCCATTCCTGGGGAGTGCAGTGATTGAAAAATGAAATATGTCTTTGTTCTCGTGACTAAAATTCAATTTTCTCTCTGTAACAAAGAGGGGAGAAAAATCAAAAGATGATTACAATGACATTATTTTAAAAAAAGGAAATGTACAATGCACCTACTTTGCATTATTCCAATTTTCAGCACATAAGCTGGTGCAAAGTCATATAAATATTGCAGCATACAGTATTATCATTACCCAGTAACAACATTTATACTATTGCTTTCAGATCGGATGCAACAATCCCCTGCTGGCAACTTTCCCTCAGGTATTTCTGTAATGAAAGACTGCAAAAAAGTCACTTATAAGCCCTTTTTTTACTTCAACTGGTTTTAACCATTTTCTGCCTTGACCACACAACCTCCTGACGTGAGATGAAGGCCACAATTACACAAGACCAGTCGGGTGAACCCATTCCAGCACAGATGCATTGTGGTGTACAAATCCTTAACACTGAGCATTCACACAATAACTATGCAACTGCCCATCCATATGAGTTAAACATTTAAAAAATCTATATAATGTGCACACAGTGTGCCAAGAATCTCACAGATGTCACCCCACGTCTTGTGTGTTATCACTCATCAAAGATGTCTTTAACATCAATTACTTGTTATTTCTGTTTTGCTATTTCTTTAACAGCAAAAAGATACAGGAATTTAATCCTTAGCTGTTAATTTTGATTTCAGGACTTATTTCTGGTGGTTGTGGCGGAAATGTGCCATATAGTGATGAGCATAATACTATTTTTCTCTTGGAAATTATGTGCTATCACTTAAGAAGTGATTTATCCACTAGGTGAAAAGATGCAAAGAACATCTATTTTCAAGCATATTTCACAGAATCATGGAATATTCTGAGTTGGATGAGACCCACAAGGATCACTGAATCCCACTCTTAAGTAAAGGCCCATATGGGGATCAACCCACAACCTTGGCACTATGTGCACCCTGTTCTAACCAACTAAACTTATCTCATCTGTGACACAAGGCACCATTAATAAGTACCCAACATGGTGAAATTGATTATTTTATAAATCTAGAAGAAAACAAGCAAAAATAAATTATATTGAGGAAAACATTGTGACTGGACCAGTGCGTAAGTGACAAATGTATAAGTAGCACACAGCAATAACAGTCAGTGTAATGAGGGTATCTTTTTTTCAAGCCTTTTTGCCGTTACTACATTACCTGTAGGTGCAGCATTGTGGCTCCCGCCTAGGCACTATTACAAGAGAAACCAATAAACACTTTGATTCAGATTATTACCCAAGTTGACTTAGTCAGCATGCACCTGATGAGCTACTTGCAGAAGTAGACACATCGCCAAATACACTTTTTATCTACTTTCTCTCCCTTTTCTGCTTTCCACACTTACCCATTAAAAGATTTCTAGAGAAGCTCAAAGGGCCATAGAGGTTCTAATAGCACAAGAAGTTACTGCACTGCTGGAGAGGTCTGGCTCCACTTAGTTCTACCATCTATTTTTCATATATTCTTGTAGAAACACTTAGAAAGACAAGAAAAAACCGAGAGCATGATGTAGCAGAAAACAAAGATGATGTGTTTGGTCCCACAAGGGACCAAACAGGTTTTGGTCTAAGCAGGTTTTGCATAGATGAAGAACAGCTTCCCTATTTATGTAAAGTTCTCTGTGTGAGGATCCTAGAATGTTTCACACATTCACAAAGCTCTGCAGCACAAAGCTGTGCAATCCAGCACACTACTGTGCCAAACCAGTTTTGCTGTGCCACATGTGGAAAGATGGCCTTGGACTGTTACACATGGACCTTGGAAAGTGACAGAGGAGAGAGAACCAGCCACAAGGAAAGTAAACCTACCAAACTTGTTTTTATTAAATGTAGGTGCTGGGTATCTTCGCTCAATACCTTCTTGCTATGTAGCTGATCTGTGCAGCTTTTT